ACACACACACACACACACACACACACACACACACACACACACAGTTAGATACATTCAATGTGTTGGTCTTGTCATGGGATTTGTTTGAAATAAGAAATGTAAAAAGTATCACCAGCCTTATGATTTAGACACACTGAATATCAGCATTTCAGCAGCTTTACATTATACTTAAATTACTTTGAGCAAAAGTATTTATTATTTATTAAAAGTGTTTATTGAGCTTTCTTTGAGACTTCAGTAGAAAGTAGTTGCAGTGAAGACTTTTCATGTTGGGTTCTGTGTATTATTATAATTATATAATTATTTTGACCTCCAAAATTCTCAACAAATATCTCAACGCCCGACCAAATAAAACCAAAGAAATCTAGAGACCAAGTGAGAAAATGTTGCTTTTGTAATCTGGGCGCACGGCTCCAGATGCCTTCGAAACCAGTCAGGAGTCTAATGCCTTCCAGTTAATTGAATCCTATTAGCAGTGTTTTGGTAGGATCAAAGTCAGGACGAAGCGGGGAAAGAGCGTAACTCTGCTGCACAAAGTGCTGGTGAGGGAGCCAGAAGAGGCCCTGGAGGGAGATTAATGGGCAAAGGTGTAGGCCAGTCTGAAGTGCTTGTGATGGACCACGGGTGCGACCGTCCAGTCTGCCTCTAGTGAATACAACAGCCCTGACTAATAGCCCGCGCAGCTGGCATATCATATATATATGTTGTGATGGAGAGGGAGGAAAAACACAAGCCTCTTACCTCGCGTTTATCCTGGAGAGGGAGAAAATAAATTACAGGGGCGAGACACAAACTGGGCTGTGTGAAGAGCCCTCAAACAGCAGAACACGAGAGAGAGAGAGCAAAGCCAAAGAGGGGCGGGAATTATGAAAACAAATTTACAGTTAACAGTATAACAAGAGGATTCGTGGAAAAAGAAAGATTTTGGTTTCTTGGCCTCAAAACCGATACAGTATGAAGAGGTAATCAAAGTATGACATGAGGATGTGTGTTTGATCACACTGTTCCCATGAAGTTCTCAGATAGGCTCAAATCATCTTCATCCTGTACAGACACTCATTTGCAATCACTCGGCTGATTCTCACGGGTATAAATCTCAGCTACGTGGACGGCCGGAATGCCACTCTGACAGAACCTGCAGTAACAGGAGGCCCTCAGACTGTTCTTGTTTCAAGGTAAAATTGCACTTCCCCTGCATGCGAGTTACAAATTCGAATGCAAATTTTTCCTTCACACACACACACACACACACACACACACACACACACACACAGAGAGACGGTGACTCTCTAGTCACCATAATCTTCCCTTGCTTAAAACTTAAACTTGACTGGGTGAAAATCTCACCCTGTGCTCACGAGGCAGCTGTTA